AAAGCACTCAATAAAAGGAGATTGGCCAAATATACTATGTACACCCTGGTAACAATACTATATAACATTGTCTTGTGACCCAGCCATTTACATCCATGACATTTAGGACATGTAAAAGTAATTGCCGACATCTGGTTAACAAAAAGAACAAAATGATTCTTCTAATCCTTTGTGGGAAAGGTTTATCACCAGAATCTCTATAACTGGTACCTTTCATCCCGCTTTCTTTTCTCCTGCCTTCTGCCTCCTTATGTCACATGCCCTTTGGCCTCTCTGTGATCCCCAGGTGAATTTCCCAGGTTTGGTTCCTCCAACATGTTCATATTTCTGAGTGGCACAGCTGTGGTGACAAAAGAGTCCCTGCGGAATGCAGCTTGGGGCTGCCTTTACCGGGTCAACAACTTCTTCGACCATAAGTTCAGACCCCGGCCTGTGAATGAGATCATCAATTCTGCGAAGAAAATGGTTGGTGTGAAGAAAAAATATGAAGTTATTCTTGATAACAGTAAGCGCTTTGTCACTGATCTGAGATATGGCTGGCCCCACTGCAAGATGGTAAGATCCCTTGAGGGTGATCCTTGTCCTTTCTGGAGTTCTTTTTGAAAAGGAATTGTGGGTGGGGTTCTGGGAAACCACCAGTGGACCCAGCATGGTGTGTCCCATATTAATACTATAACTTTAATTCTCATCGTCATGCTACGTGACTAATTCTCATATGAATACGGTAGTGCCAGGCATTTAGCTGCTCATTAAGTCCTGACAACAAGCCTGGCAACATTTCCCCAGTCTGCAAAAGGGGACCCGGGCACACAGCGTTCAGGTAAATTGTCCAACTTGTCCAACATCAAATGAGGCGTGGACCCAGATGTGGCATATCTTTGAAGAACACCTTTCAGTCTGGAAACACATTCCGAAGGGTCATCAGCAAGGGACAGGGGATGGGGGAACCATTGCCCTAAAAGTCACGGATAGCCAGTTTCGGTGCTCACACTGCTGCTGACCAGCTGGGAGACCTTCTCCAAGTCAGTTCACCCCTCTGTGTCCTGGCCAACGATCCGGCCCTGTCATAAAGGAGGAGATGCTGAGAGGCTGGTCCTCTGGCCCATCTCTTACCACCCCCAATAGATCCCAAACCCAGGGTAGGATGGCAGATAGGTACAGAAAATGCATCTGTGCATAGAGAGCTGGAGATGCCTGAGGACCCGGGAGTCTGGAGGAGGGATGTTCTGAGATAGTGAGACACCTCGGGCGAAAGGATGTCTGCTGGGAGGAGATCTGTGCTATAGGGAGAGGGCCTGGGGGGTGTTAGGAGGCAGAGAGAAGACGATGTCCAAGGAGCAGAAGCAAGAGAGAGCACGAGGTGAGGGGAACACAAGTAGCTCCACAGAGCAGAGCAGAGGGAGGAGCGAAGAGGGATGAGGGTGACGAGCGGTGAGTGTTAGAGCCAGACCCCGAGCTGCCTGAAGGGTGTGGACTCATTCTGAGGCTCCAGGGACGTCATTGCCATATGTTCCCTTTGGAAGGTCCCACTGGATGACATGGAGGTGGATAAGGAGTGGTTGGAATGGGAGCCAGAGGTGAGGGACAAGGACTTCTGTGACCCAAGTCAGGAGAAAGGGACATGGGACGAAGGTGGCATTGAAGGTACTTGGTAACTGGATGCAGGGGTCAGGGAGGAGGAGGAGTGAAGGATGACTCCAACCTCTGATTGAGCAACCTGGGCTGAGGAACGCCCAAAGGAAGGAGAACAGCGGGAGAACAGGGGACAAAGAACCGGCTTCATTCCTGGGGGATGGAACAGAATGTGGGGGGGGCCGTTCTGCATCCCCGGGAAGGGAGTGCGAATGGGGAGAAAAGAGCAACCCACAGGGGGACGAGTGTGGGAAGTGGGAATAGAGAAAGGAACTTCTGGCTGAGGGGTGTTGGGTAAGTCCCTTAACCTCTCCTGTGCCAGTGCCAACACCTGTGACTTGGGAGATCATTGTACCTTGTGAGACTGAGGTGCTGATGGACGCATGTTATGGAATTTTCCCACCGGTAGCTGTGTGGTCACCACAACGTCTGATGCTTGGCCCAGCTGCCCATTGTGTAGCCCTAAGAACACTTCATTTTGTGTCTCACGGTGAATGACTGAGGAGTGTCCAGGGGTTGGAGAGAGACTCTGAGGAGGAGGCTGCCCAATGAAGCTGTGGACAACTGCTGTAAAATATAATGTATTGATACGCTATTTGAGGTTCAGTAAGGACAACAGATCAAAAGATGATGCCATTGAAAAAGAGTTTGTTACTCACAGTTCCCATAAGATGAGAACAAGCCACGTTATGCCACAGGGATGGAGGGGGCAGGGTGTTTGTTTTGAGGGGAAGCACTGGGTTGATCGGGAGGCAGAGGACATGGGGAGAAATGTGGGCAAGAGAATTTACCGTAGTGTCTGTGGGAAGAAGGATTGAGGCAGGGAAGCAGGCTGAGGACGGCTCCGGCTCGTGAGAATCCTTTCCACAGGCTCTGGGGCACGGGGGCTGGCTGTAGTTGTCTGCTACCTGGCCCTGTGGTGATCAGGGTAGATGGAAGGTGGCCTGGAGTGTGAGAGCCTCTTAAAGGCGGTAGCTGTGGGTGGGGGTGGGGAGGTGGGGCTCTGGATTGGTTGGTTTGCATTTGAAAAGCACATTTATGTGTGGGTTGCTTGCTACCTTCAGGAACTGGCTAGCCCTGGGAGGGGCAGTCTCTCCAGCTTCCATAAGGCTCAAGAGGTCAAAGTATCAGAGCAGAGAATAAAAGACAAGGTTAACACCCAACAGTGGGGCAGGACAAATGTGCAAGGGCCCTGAGGGCCAGTCTAATGAGAGGGAAAGTGTTCAGCCCATNCTGCCCGCTTTAATCTGCAGACCACTTGCTCAGCAATAGAGAGATTCTGGGCGACTCAGCACCAGCTGCTGGGGGGAAGGGCTCAGTGTGTCATGGGCCAACCTCCCTCTAGACTTGAAGTAAGCTTCGCACAATTAGTTGCTGTGTGCTCTGGAACTGTGCTCACCACCAAAAATCCTCACAGGTTGTTGCGGGCTGTCTGCTGCTGCAAAAAAACCCTCTGTGGCCTGCAGAGGTAGGAGCTAGGGACCAGGGCTCAGAATGCCCCTGGCAACACAGCTCTAGGTGGGCAGGGCAGGCCCCCAAGGCACCACAGGGTGTGGTCAGTGGCCTCCACCAAGTCAGAGCAGCATGCACTCCTGCATCAGCAGCCAACCCACACAAACTCGCCTGGAAAGCCCCGGCTGAATCATGCAGGCGCATAGCTCACGGCCTTACACTCCCAGGAAAACTCCCTGTCTCAGCCTGTCCCAATCAGCCGCTCAAAGATCAGGCCAAGCAGCCCGACAGCCAATTGCCACCAAGACAACATTGCACTCGCAGTGCGGAAATCAGGGACCTAAGGCGAGTCACGCACTTCTGGGTCTGTTGTAGTCGGAACACTCTTGCCGGCGTTTCCCTGGCTACGCAGCACAAACAGTATGGAGGGTGGGAATCCAAGGCCACATGCGCACGCATGCATGCACTCCTGCAAACACACGCACTCCTGCGCAAATTCCAGCAGACCAATGCAGTCCCAGAACTGAGCCTCTGTGGGAGGGCTCAGCCCTGAAAAAATAGCACCCTCCTGTGCACCACTCGTGTGCAAGCTCCACACCAGGGGAACAATGGTCCCCAAAACCTCCAGCTCCTGCGCCAAAGGCACTCAGTTCAATCCTTCCCGCAGGCTCCTGGGTCCCGCTCACACAGCCACTCCCTCCACCAGGAACCGGGTGAGTGCTCACCAGCGAGCAACTCAGCCCGCTGGCTCCACTGGTTCTCTAGCCGCCCCCAGCCTCACCGAGCCGAGCAAAGAGAGTCCTCAGTATTTTCTACTTCCAGCTATTGTAGAACTCCTCTTCCCGGCAACGTAACTCTGGGGTGGTGAGCGTGGTGTGGGGCCGGAGGGTCTCGCCCCCATCCGGAGAAGCCTCCCAACCGCTGAGGTGTTCCTCACGGGGTTTGCCCTCTCTCATCTCCGCCCCTTCTACCAGACTCGACGTGGCCTCCTCTTTAAGTCGTTCGTTTAGAGGTTCTGCTCATCTAGGGTCCAGGGAACTTCCGAGGTTGAATATCTTATAAATTATTTGTAATTTTGTGAGATCCTGGGAGGTAGTCGGCACAGCGTCTGTCTATTCCGCCATCTTACCGGAAGTCCTCCCAGTAGCACATTCTCAATACTTTTGCTCAATGCACTTTACTTCTGCCTGCTGAATTTTACTGTTGAGTTGGCTAAGGGGCAAAAATTCCTCTGGCTAAGCCCGGCATCTGGGGCCCGAGCCCAGCATCCCTGCCAGAAGGACATTTTTCACCACACCTCCAGTGCCCTCTTTGGGTCAGCCTCCATTGTTTAAAGGATGTTATTTGTAACCAGGAGTCTAGTCTTTACCTTCCTATGTCTATTATGTGAAGTTATTGTGCTTTATGTGCCCAAATGAGCACGGGTCGAACTAGTCCAGGTTTGATTTCTTGTTGGGAGCCGGCTGTACCTCAGTGTCTGACATAGCCAAGCACACTGCAATTGTGACAAATTCTGAAGCTCTGACTGAGAAACAGATACTGCTTTATATCTTAGAAGATTTAAATTCCCCGTTGGATGCCCCCCAGTAGGATGAAGATCTTACACCCCTTCTGATAGATATATCACAATAATTCTATTTTATACACTAAAGGCAATTTTAGTCACACTGCTAGTCTTTTAGTAAAGGTCAAAGTACACACCCTGTAAATCTTAAGATCCTGCTTAGACAATAGTGTTTAAAATAATTGTTAGGTGGTCATGGTAACCATCCTTTGGGCGATTATGTAGAGGCTCAGGCCTTGGTTGCATAGTCATTGTAGGTGGAGGGATTTGGACACAGTTAAGATAAGTTAGTCTTTAGCATAAAAAAAGGTCAAGCTGCACCCTGGAGCATAAGAATTACGAGGAAGTAAAACCCTGATAAAAAAAACTTTACTAATGGGACAATGGTCAACTGTCTGGTATAAAAAGAGACATGCTGTAAAAATAAAGTGAGACACTTCTTGTTGAAAAAGCGCCCCTGTGTCTCCGTGCGTTTTTCTTCTTTTTCCTCGCCGATACCGTCTCCACCTGAGGGAACCCCTGGACCTGTGGGAGCTGGTCTCCCGCAATTTCTGAAAATTATGTTTCCTCAAAGTGAATCCCAGCTATTTTCTTGCATGCCTCATGTGTGGTCTCAGAAATGGCAAGCCCCGGCCTCCTCACGTTGCAAGCTGCAGTGATGCTGCCTCTGCCACCAGCAGCCTTCCCCAGAGATGGCCCCAGGGTAGAGTCATCCTCCAGTGGGGTCACCTACTCAGGCCCTGGGGGAGAGGTAACACTTTCCCCTTTGGTAACAATCCCAAGGGTATGAAAGGCTGGTTCTTTAATCCCCACAGCACAGCAAATCCCAGCCTGTGGCTAATAGTAGGAGTTTCCTGGGAGCTCAGGGATACCAGGAAGGAAGAACAACTAAGGGAATAACTTAGTGCTGCCACTATGTAATGTGACTATGTTCAGAATTGCAGGCCCAAGTCAGTTGATGCATTTACAGGGTCCTGAATGGTTCCCCTGCATTGCTGCTGGTGCACCTCCGTGTCAATATGTTCAGCTCACCTGACACAACCGTGATGCTTTAACATGGCTGCTCACCTTGGGCCTTGGGCCTGCGGTTACGTGGCCCCATACAGAGAAGGACCTTCTGTTTTCCAATATGACTCACTTCCCTGACACCTTATCTGTCCCAGGTTCAATTTGTTTCCAGGGGACCTAACAACGTGAATATCTGTTCCCTTTGATGGAAACACTGGATCTTTTCTGTGAAGATTTTGTTCACTGCCTATGACTAGATCAAAGTTCTCAGCTCTCCCTGTACTTCTCCTCTGTGGCACTTGTCATACTTGCAACTTAACTTCTCTGTGTGCTTCTGTGACAAATATGTATTTTCTCTACAGGAAATCTCATTCTGCACAACCAGGCCTCACCACTCCTTTTCTTCACCATTTTCAGCCCCTAGAGCCTACTGTAATGTCTCACATAGAAAAGTATTACCACTAAAAACATTTAGAAGGACTGAATAAGTGTATAGCTGATATACCTGTGTATCAGGGAGGAGTGCATATCTGTGGGTATTAGCATAGGTATAGACCCAAAGCGTTTTAAACCGGGATTTTAATGCCTATGTGGGCACAGTAATATCAGTTGTAGACCAGTAACGATATAGAATGGGAACTGAGATCTCTACATAAGGCTAAACCCATAACAAAAATAATCCCTTTGTAAAAAGGGATGATGAAAAACTTTGTCTAGAGCCCTGGGTATAAAAATAAAAATATCTCTCGTAAGAAAGAGCCAAACCAGATCCTTTTGTAGTTCATAAGTGTGATGATTGGGTGTTCATGCTTGTGTGTGAGATGTGCCTCCCACAAACCTTGTTACGACATCAGCACATTACCCATCTGACATGAAAAGAACAAAATAAATAAAAAAAGAAAAAGAAAAAAAGGAAGAGCCAAACTAAGCCATTTCTATGTGCAAGTGGTAAGTCTGTGTTTTTTATACCCACTGAAGGAATCCCCAATTTAGACCAATGAAGCCCTCAGCCATCCTTCAGCTGTAAATGCGGGGCACACCAGGCTTCTACATGAGCATACAACCTATCAGGAATGGGGAACAGTAGACACAGCCAATGGGAGGATTTGTAGGTAAAGAACTTAAAATAAGAAAACATTCCACTACATGTATGTTTACAGACACATGCACGTATTTCTGTTGAGTAGGTGTCAAGTAGCACAATTGCTGGGTCATGGAGCAGAGCAGTGTGTGTTTAGCAGCCAAACAATTTTATAAAGTGACTAAATCAGTTTACTCTCTCCCCCACCTCTGGAATCTGTGTGAGTTCCAGTTCACTAACTTTCTTGTCAACACTTACTATTGTCATTCTTTTTAATTGTAGCTCCCCTAAAGGGAGCATAGGTATATAACTTTGTGGTTTTAATTTGCATTCATCTGATCCATAATGATATTGAACACATATGATTATTAACCATTTGAATATTCTTCTTTTGACTTTTGACATTTCTATTGGATTGGGTATTTCTTCATTTTACTTCATTAATAGTTTTGTGGGGGTTTTTAAAGATTTTTATTGGGGAATTGGGGGAAGGGGAACAGACAAGTT